ATCTATCTATCTATCATCTGACTATTTCTATCTATCTATCTATGTATCATGACTATTTCTATCTATCTATGTATCATCTGACTATTTCTATCTATCTATCTATCTATCTTGACTATTTCTATCTATCTATGTATCATCTGACTATTTCTATCTATCTATCATCTGACTATTTCTATCTATCTATCTATCATCTGAATATTTCTATCTATCTATCTATGTATCTATGTATCTATCTATCTATCTATCTACTGAATATTTCTATCTATCTATCTATCTATCTGACTATTTCTATCAATCTATCATCTGACTATTTCTATCTATCTATCTATCTATCTATCTATCTATCTATCTATCTATCTATCTATCATCTGACTATTTCTATCTATCTAGCTGTCATCTGACTATTTCTATCTATCTATCTATGTATCATCTGACTATTTCTATCTATCATCTATTTCTATCTATCTGTCTATCTATGTATCATGACTATTTCTGTCTATCTATCATCTGACTATTTATATCTATCTATCTATCTATCAGTCTATATATCTATCATCTGACTATTTCTATATATCTATCATTTGACTATTTCTATCTATCTATCTATGTATCATCTATTTCTATCTCTATCTATGTATCATCTGACTATTTCTATCTATCTATCTATGTATCATGACTATTTCTATCTATCTATGTATCATCTGACTATTTCTATCTATCTATCTATGTATCATGACTATTTCTATCTATCTATGTATCATCTGACTATTTCTATCTATCTATCTATCTATCTATCTATCTATCTATCTATTCTATCTATCTATCTATCTATCTATCTATCTATCTATCATCTGACTATTTCTATCTATCTATCTATCTATCATCTGACTATTTCTATCTATCTATCTATCTATCATCTGACTATTTCTATCTATCTATCCTAGCGATATCTTAATCATGCTAGAAATCTATCTATCCTAACGACATGGTAATCATGCTAGAAACGTACAAACAACATGCTAGTAGCATGCTAATCATGCTAGCAACATGCTAATCATGTTAGAAACATGCTAGCAAAAAAATAGTAACTTGATAATCATGCTAGCAACATGCAAGTAGAATGCTAATCATGCTAGAAACATGTTAGCAAAATGCTAGTAACTTGCTAATCATACTAGAAACATGCTAGTGACATGCTAGTAACTTGCTAATCATGCTAATGACATACTAGTCACTTGCTACTCATGCTAGCAAAATGCTAGTCACTTTTTAATCATGCTAGCAACATGTTAGTAGAATGCTAATAATGCTAGAAACATGCTAGTAACTTGCTAATCATGCTAACAACATACTAGTCATTCGCTAATCATGCTAGAAACATGCGAGTCACTTTGATAATCATGCTAGAAACATGCTAGCGACATGCCAGTCACTTTGTTAATCATGCTAGCAAGATGCTAGTCACTTGTTAATCATGCTAGCAACATGATAGTAGCATGCTAATCATGCTAATGACATACTAGTCACTTGCTACTCATGCTAGCAAAATGCTAGTCACTTTTTAATCATGCTAGCAACATGTTAGTAGAATGCTAATAATGCTAGAAACATGCTAGTAACTTGCTAATCATGCTAACAACATACTAGTCATTCGCTAATCATGCTAGAAACATGCGAGTCACTTTGATAATCATGCTAGAAACATGCTAGCGACATGCCAGTCACTTTGTTAATCATGCTAGCAAGATGCTAGTCACTTGTTAATCATGCTAGCAACATGATAGTAGCATGCTAATCATGCTAATGACATACTAGTCACTTGCTACTCATGCTAGCAAAATGCTAGTCACTTTTTAATCATGCTAGCAACATGTTAGTAGAATGTTAATCATGCTAGAAACATGCTAGCAACATGCTAGTAACTTGCTAATCATGCTAACGACATGCTAGTCATTTGCTAATCATGCTAGAAACATGCTAGTCACTTTGCTAATCATGCTAGCAACACGATAGTAGCATGCTAATCATGCTAGAAACAGGTTAGCAACATGCTAGTAACTTGCTAATCATGTTTGCAACATGCTAGTCACTTGCTAATCATGCTAGAAACATGTTAGCAACATGCTAGTAACTTGCTAATCATGCTAACGACATGTTAGTCACTTGTTAATCATGCTAACAACATGCTAGTCACATGTTAATCATGCTAACAACATGCTATCTACATCTATCTATCATCTCTGACAGACTGTATTGCCTTCAAAATATTCAAACTTTGCTATTTCAGACTTAAACCTTTTTTAAACTTTTCAAACTTTCTGGTCCAGCTTTCTCAAGCCAACTTAAAGTTTGTCTTGACAAACTTTTTTATCTAGTTCAACTATGGTATTTGTAACCACACATTTACTGCTGATGTTGAGTAACTGTTGCATCTATAAATATATAACGTTATATAATAGACAAAAAGCTCATGAAAACTACCCAATATAACAAAATCATTACACTACATTATAATGAACCTCTGCAGCTTGTTAACACAATCTGAGGCATATAATGAAATGAGTATTGCTGCTTTATTTTAGTTTCAGTAATCCTGCCACCAGCCAGCAGATGAGACACTTCAGAGATTCACTTCACACTGAAACTGTGAGTAACACTGCATTAGTCTCCACATGGATGAAGTTAATCATTTCTCAAAAGTATTTTTTAAAAAGCATTTTAAATGCTAAAATTATTCAGCAAAATCATCTAACGTTAATAGAACATGTAAAAACAAGTAACATGTTTTGATCATCTTACACACATCATATTCATGTTCAAATGTGTTTTATTGTACTAGGTTATTTTGTTTGTTTTTTCCCCTTCAAAGATAAAACAATCTGCATAAATGTGGAGGTAGAAACAGATTTCTGTCAAGAGCTCCTTCAAACACTGTAACACACACTCACAAACACTGTAAGGGTGAATCTCACATCAACAAACATGCTCAGCTTATATTTCAACACCAAAAGAAAAGTGATGTTATTGTCATGACAATAAAGTACATTCATCCTCTCCAGTTCTCAATACTGTATGCAAAAAAAACATGACATTATTGGAGAGTATATAATTTATGCTGATTTAAATTGTAAAAATGTATTATGTTCTCATATTCAGTAATAACACCTCTGAGATTAATGAGAAACATGTCCGGACAAAAGCCATAACACTTGAAGACTATTTAAAATGTGCTTAACTACCATTAAAAATAGTGTAATAGTACATAACAATCTTTTAAAAAAAAAACAGGCTACATTTATTTCATTTAGTTTTGGGGCAAAATGTGACCTGAACATGTTTTCTTGAGATTCACTTGCAAACTGATTTCTTGAAGGGTGCTGTACATTGAAGTGATGCAGTGATCCATAAACTGTTCATGCCTTCCCGTCGTCAACGAAATACAGTTTTAGTAAAGTGCTGGAGAAGTTATGACACTTCACCCCGTGACCTCAGTAATTATAATATTTCCTAAGTGTATCCCGTACACAGCCGTGACACATGGTGCATTGATATGAAATCAGTCACTAATGTGATTCAGGTTACAGTAAAAAAAAACAGGCTACATTTATTTCATTTAGTTTTGGGGCAAAATGTGACCTGAACATGTTTTCTTGAGATTCACTTGCAAACTGATTTCTTGAAGGGTGCTGTACATTGAAGTGATGCAGTGATCCATAAACTGTTCATGCCTTCCCGTCGTCAACTAAATACAGTTTTAGTAAAGTGCTGGAGAAGTTATGACACTTCACCCCGTGACCTCAGTAATTATAATATTTCCTAAGTGTATCCCGTACACAGCCGTGACACATGGTGCATTGATATGAAATCAGTCACTAATGTGATTCAGGTTACAGTTTTCAACCAACACTGGACTGTTTTTACTTGCATGTAACACATTAAATAATGAAACCGTGGAGACGTGGGAGAGACAGAGACCAAGAAAGATGAATAGTTCAGTGAACAGGAGAGCAAACAGGCAAGACTGAAATCAAACTGTAAGAAGAAAAACCTGCAGGAGTAGAGGAACAGCTTAGAGGAGGTTAAGAGCCGCCTAACTTTTGTTTCATTCGATCCAGCTGAGGTTCAAGCAGCGAGCGATGAAGGCGTATGTGTCCGCCACCTCCTGAATGACTTTACTGGTGGGCTTTCCTGCGCCGTGGCCCGACTTTGTGTCCACATAGATAAAGAGGGGGTTTGACTGGCCGGGCCACTGACCGATCACATTCTGCAGTGTGGCGATATATTTTAGCGAGTGCAGCGGCACCACGCGGTCATCATGGTCACCCGTTAACAACAATATGGCGGGATACTGAGCCCCGTCAGCATCTGGAACATGGATATTGTGAAGAGGAGAATACCTGCAAGGTCAGAACGTTTACAGCTCTTTAAATTCATAACAGATGAGCGTTTTTGCAGTTATGTTATGTTACTATGTTAGTTATGCACTTATGTTTTGCTGTAGTACCAAATCTAGTTTACTATTAAAAAAAATGGAAGCCATATATATATACAAAGCACACAATTTGCTAGTATTCTATTATGAACATTCGTGCAGATCAATCCCCGATTAACTCCAGAATTACAGTCACATGCCTTTATGCCATGTCTCTCCATACTCTCCACCTCCTCTGATATTGGCGACAGCTAAAACTCCTCCCAGATGCCTGACAAATATCAGCCGAGAAACACTGAAACACAAACGGTGAGAGACAGACGTTTACAACAACAGAAGAGAGATGCGTGTTGAAGATCAGTAGTGCATCAGTGGAGCATGTGATCAGATGGATGTTTTTGTGTTTGGTTTGTATTGTACCTGTAGCTGGGTGTGATGGAAATGTTGAAACCTCCATATCCATACAGGAAGGCGGGATGGGAACCATCCAGCTCGATTCCTTTTTTATGGACAATAAACATTGGGATTTGGGTGCCGTCTTTACTGGGATAAAAGACCTGTCAGAAACCAACAGATATGAAGTGAAGGCAATCATCCCGCAGACAGACAGATGAAACCTCTGCAAGCGTCTTGCTGTACCTGAGTGGTCTGGTAGTCAGCAGGACTGAAACCCTTCACTGTGACCTCTCTGAAGAAATGCGGCTGCAGCGGCTCCTTAGTCAGATCACAGTGATAGATGATCGCTGCAGAAAAACACATCACACGTCATTTACAATGTTACCTGTTCGTTATTTATGAGTTATTAAAGGGATAGATCACTGAAAATTGTGTCAGCATTTATTCACCCTTGTGTTGTTCCAAACCTGTATGAGTTTCTTTATTTCAGTTGAATACAAAAGAAGATATTTTGAAGAATGTTGGTAACCAAAGAGTTGACGGTAGCCATTGACTTCCACAGTATTTTTTCCATACTATGGAAGTCAATGGCTCCTGTCAACTGTTGAACAGAAGACAGAAACTCCTACAGGTTAGAGGGTGAATAAATGATGACGATTTTCATTCTTGTGTGAACTGTCCCTTTAAGGACCAAAGTTCTTAATTTCAGAAGCTTCTGAATCTTGACGGACCTGGAGAGAGAAAAGAGGTGAAGCTGTAAAAGATCTCAGAGTCTTGCTTCCTCCCAGTGAAGCCCACAATCGAGCCGACGTCCAGCGGAAAAGTGCGTATCTCCTCGCCCGAGGACAGATGGAACATCTTCAACACGTTCTTCACATCATGGAGGAAACACACAAACAGGAACTTGGAGTATGTACAGGTAGCAAACACTGAAAGAGATCAACAAATCACAAATCATTACCATCATAACACACCATTGACAAAATATTATTTATATTATTTAAAATGATTAAAAAAAAAAATTAATACAAATAAAATAATAGAAATATATATATATATATATATATATATATAAATGTGTGTGTGTGTATACATTTAAAAGTTTTGGTTATGTAAGGGTTAAAAAAACAATACTTTTATTCAGCACGGATGTAACAAAGCAATCCTATGATATTTATATTGTTACAAAAGATTTATATTTCAAATAAATGCTGTTCTTTAATCTTAATAAAAAAAAAAAAGATTTCCACAAAGCTGCAAAAAACGTTTTCAACATTGATAATAAAAAGAACCATTATTAATAATTAAGAACCAATGATAATTGAGCTGTAAATCAGCATGAAGATCATGTGACACTGAAGACTGGAGTAATGATGCTGAAAATTCAGCTTTGATCACAGGAATAAATTACATGTTTAAATATAATCAAATAGAAAATACTTATTTTAAATTGTAATAATATTTCACAATATTACAGTTTTTACTGTATTTTTAATCAAATAAATGCAGCCTTGGTGAGCAGAAGAGACTTATTTCAAAAACATTATAACATTTATTGAATTTTTAATTATGTCAATTATTCAAACTTTTGACCAATATAAATAAAATAATAAAATTATTTTTAAATCAAGAAATTAAATTAAATAGAGTTTAAAGAAGCAGAATTTTCAACATTTAATTTCCATAATGTGACATATTTCTGTGGGAAAAGTAAAAGGGAAAAAGTAATTACATTTTGATTATGAGATCATGAAAATATATTTTTTAACTTGCAGATGAATTAGGCACAACAAGACCAGGGACATTCATTGAGAAAGTAAAGACAGTGAATTCTGATTTGACGTGATTTCTATCTCTGCTCACCGATGACGTCTTTGTCGTGTTGGGGAATGAGCTCTTTCCACTGGCTGATGGACGGTTGGGCGAAGTCAACGTTGATGAGTCTATATTGAGGAGCTTCCAGGTTGGTTTTGAAAGTGAAAACAGTTGCTTCATTCGTGACGTATTCATACTCTGCATCAAAGTTATCGATCAACTTCACCCATGGCAGCAAACCTGTCATCATTAAGATATACATGAGATCCTGGCAGTGGAAAACAAGCATTTTTGTCTGAAAAATAATGTTTCTGTGTGTCTGTACCAGTGACTCCCTGCGGCACGTCGTTCAGGTCACAGTACCACAGTCTGTTGACGGGGTCACAGCCCTCTTGGATGGACAACAGCACATAACGGCCGTCATCAGACACCTGAAAACACACACACATACGTTATTCACCTCATAACACAACCAGAAATGAAGCACCATTTATGTGTGTGTTTGTTACCTCAGCACCACTCATCCATTTCGACTGATCAGGAAATTCAGCACACAGGACGTCCTGAGACTGAGGGGTTCCCAACACGTGATAGTACAACTTCTGGTGCAGGTTAGTGGACGTCTCAGTGCCTGAGAGACAGACAGATGTCAATCAAGATGTCTTACCCATGCTGTTATTGGTAACTGAAACTAATGCACAAACACATTGCTCATTGTTAGTAAATGTTAGTTTGCATTAACTAATGTTAACAAGTTAGACCTTATTGTAAACGGTTACCATTAGAGCTATTAAAAATAATTTTCAGTGAATGAAATAAAATAAAATACAAATATTAGGTGAAAAACTTAAACGAAAATTAGAAATAAGTTTAGGTTAAAGTGCTAAAATTACTAAAACTAAAATAAAAATAAATTAAAGCTAAATATAAATATTTAAAACAAATAAATATTAATAACTCCTAATATGGCATTGAATAATACTACTAAAGCTATTAAAAACTGAAATAAAATTTAAAAAGCTGAAATAAAATATTAGATAGAAATATTAGATGAAAAACATGAACCTAAACCAATTTTTGATTAAGTGTTAAAATTACTAAAACTAAAATGGAAAATAAAAGCTAAACAGAAATAGTAATAAATACTAATATAGTATTATTAAATACCGTACTAATATAGCATTGAATAATACTACTAAAGCTGTTAAATATTGAAATAAAAGGTAAAAGTAAAAAGCTGAAATAAATTACAATATAGAAATATTAGATGAAAAACTAAAACTTAAAAATAAATTTTAGTTTAGTTAAAGTTCAAAAATTGCTAAAACTAAACCTGACATAAAAATAAATGAAAGCTAAATAGAAATATATTAAAAAAAAATTAATTACAAAATAGTAATAAATACTAATATAGTATCTGAATACTTCTAAAGCTATTAAAAATGTAAATAAAATTTAAAAACACTGAAATAAAATGTAATATAAATATTAGATGAAAAACTTTTAAATTGAAGCTAAACAGAAATATTTCAAAAATACAAATACAAAATATTAATCAATACTAATATAATATTTGAATAATACTACTAAAGTTATTAAAATAGTTTTCGGTGATTGGAATAAAGCTTAAAATAAAATAAAATAAAATATAAAATAAGGTGAAAAACTTAACAATAATAAAACCCTAAATTAAATTTAGAAATGTTGCCTTGGCAACTAAAGTTTGGGTTAAACTGCTAAAATCATTAAAACTAAAATTTAAATAAAAATAAAATAAAGCTAAATTGATTTTTTTTTTTTTTACTAATAAAAATTACAAAGTAAATAAAATTTAAAAACACTGAAATAAAATGTAATATAAATATTAGATGAAAAACTTTTAAATTGAAGCTAAACAGAAATATTTCAAAAATACAAATACAAAATATTAATCAATACTGATATAATATTTGAATAATACTACTAAAGTTATTAAAATAGTTTTCGGTGATTGGAATAAAGCTTAAAATAAAATAAAATAAAATATAAAAATAAGGTGAAAAACTTAACAATAATAAAACCCTAAATTAAATTTAGAAATGTTGCCTTGGCAACTAAAGTTTGGGTTAAACTGCTAAAATCATTAAAACTAAAATTTAAATAAAAATAAAATAAAGCTAAATAGATTTTTTTTTTTTTTACTAATAAAAATTACAAAAGCACATAAAATTACTAAAGCTTAAAATGAAAAATGAAAATATAAAAATTGCTAATACAAAATATTAATATAGTATGTTAATAACTAACATAACGCTGTCTCTTACACCTGCATGAGTGAATTTGTTTATCGTGCATGTTTGTGTGTTTACCGTCACTCTTGCCCTCCTGCACAGGATAAGAGTTATAGAAGAGTCCCTTTCCATCGTGAGTCCAGGACATGCAGGTGAATTTGACCCTCTCCAGTCGGTCCTCCAGAGGTACAGCGCCGTCCACGTGCAAGAACCGGATCTCAACCCAGTCGGAGCCGCTCGCGCTGGTGCCGTACGCCAGGTACTCGCCATCCTCAGAGAACGCATAACCTGAGAATAAGCTACAAAGCCTTAGCTGACCGTCATTACAGCGATATCACTGCAGAAAGAGACGTCACACACTGCGTCAAACAAACAGATACTTCCAGCACCTTGCAAAGCAACCGTCCCGTCCTCTGAGAAGGTGTTTGGGTCCAGGAACACGCTGGGCTTTGCCTCAAGGTTCTCCTGCATGTACAAAACGCTCTGGTTCTGCAGACCAGTGTTGTAAAAGTGAAAATACCTATGAGAGGGAGAAAAAACTGTGTTTGTTAGGACAGAACTTCAGAAAATATACACGCATACACTACCTGTCAACAGTTTGGAAAAATTCTGATTTTTTTATCTGTTTAAAAGAAGTCTCTTCTGCTCACTAAGGCTGCATTTTGTGATAAAAAAATACAGCAAAAACAGTAATATTGTGAAATAATATTACCAAAATAACTGTTTTCAATGTGAATATATTTTAAAATGTAATTTATTCCTGTGATGCAAAGCTGAATTTTTTTAGAATTGCGTGGAAAAACAGTATGTCCAGCTATAGACAGGCTCTAAAAGCTGCCAGGGCCGAGCATATCCACAAACTCATAGAAAATAACCAAAACAATCCAAGGTTTTTATTTAGCACAGTGGCTAGATTAACAAATAACCAGAAGCCACCCGATCTAAATATTCCCGCACAGTTTAATAGTAATGACTTTATGAATTTCTTCACTGATAAAATAGATAACATCAGAAATACAATAACAAATGTAGATTCTACAGCGTATAATACTTCAGCTTCATTCATCGCACCAAAAGATAAACTGCAGTGCTTTACAACTATAGGACAAGAAGAGGTAAATAAACTTATCACTGCATCTAAACCAACAACATGCCTGTTAGATCCTGTACCCACTAAATTACTGAAAGACTTGTTACCTGTAGCAGAAGAACCGCTTCTCAATATCATTAACTCGTCGTTGTCTTTAGGTCACGTCCCAAAAACATTCAAGCTGGCGGTCATTAAGCCTCTTATAAAGAAACCACAACTAGATCCTAGTGAACTGGCTAATTACAGACCCATCTCAAATCTTCCTTTTATGTCTAAAATTTTAGAAAAAGTTGTGTCTGCTCAATTGTGCTCCTTCCTGCAAAAAAATGATCTCTATGAAGAATTTCAGTCAGGTTTCAGGCCCCACCATAGCACAGAAACTGCACTTGTTAAAATTACAAATGACATACTTCTTGCGTCAGACCAAAGCTGTGTCTCATTGCTAGTTTTACTTGACCTTAGTGCTGCATTCGATACTATAGATCATGACATACTCATAGATCGATTACAAAACTATACAGGTATCCAAGGGCAGGCTTTAAGATGGTTTAGATCCTACCTGTCCGATCGCTACCACATTGTTCATTTAAATGGGGAGTCATCTCAAATATCACCAGTAAAATATGGAGTGCCACAAGGATCTGTCCTAGGTCCTCTGCTATTTTCGATATACATGTTGCCACTTGGTAATATTATTAGGAAATACGGGATTAGTTTCCACTGTTATGCCGATGATACTCAACTATATATCTCAACAAGACCAGATGAAACTTCTAAATTATCTAAGCTAACGGAGTGTGTTAAAAATGTAAAAGAATGGATGACCAATAATTTTCTCCTATTAAATTCGGATAAGACAGAGATATTACTTATTGGACCAAAAGACAGTACGCCGAATCTCGTGGATTACAATTTGCAACTAGACGGATGCACGGTTACCTCCTCTACAGTCAAAAATCTGGGTGTTATATTAGATAGCAACTTGTCTTTTGAAAACCATATTTCCCATGTTACAAAAACGGCATTCTTCCATCTTAGAAACATTGCCAAGTTACGAAACATGATACCTGTTTCTGATGCAGAAAAGCTAGTTCATGCATTCATGACCTCTAGACTGGACTACTGTAATGCACTGCTAGGTGGTTGTCCTGCATCTTCAATAAACAAGCTACAGATAGTCAAAAATGCAGCGGCTAGAGTCCTTACCAGGTCAAGAAAATATGATCATATTACCCCAATTTTACAGTCTCTGCACTGGCTACCTATTAAGTTCCGTATCAGTTACAAAATATTATTACTTGCCTATAAGGCCCTTAATGGGTTAGCTCCTGCATACCTAACTAGTCTTCTACCACGCTACAATCCATCACGCTCCCTAAGGTCACAAAACTCTAGACTTTTGGTAGTACCTAGGATAGCAAAGTCCACTAAAGGAGGTAGAGCTTTTTCGCATTTGGCTCCCAAACTCTGGAATAGCCTTCCAGATAACGTTCGGGGTTCAGACACACTCTCTCTGTTTAAATCTAGATTAAAGACACATCTCTTTGGCCAAGCATTCAAATAATGCATCTCATAATCTTTTACTGCAGTCATAATCTTTTACTGCAGTTATATCTAATCAAATGCACATTATTATTCATTAGTTTGGGTTAAACAAATCATTTTTGCTTGGTTGGAACAGCAGCTACGCTAATTATGTTTGTATTTGTTTCTCTGTCTTTTGCCACGGGATTAACATCCCGTGGTAACTAGGATTTACACAAGCTTCAGTCTGGATCCAGAACACCTGAGAAGAGATGATGCAACCCCTCAGAGGACCTCAGATGATGCCAACCCTGAAACAACATACAGAACGACCACATTTTGCTATAAGTTTGATTGCATCATATAATAATTGCTGTTAATATTATTCATCATCTGTTTTATTACGTCTTAAATTCATTTTTCCGTACTGCTGGTTCGTCTGGTCAGAGGAGAACTGGCCCCCCGACTGAGCCTGGTTTCTCCCAAGGTTTTTTCTCCATTCTGTCACCGATGGAGTTTTGGTTCCTTGCCGCTGTCGCCTCTGGCTTGCTTAGTTGGGGACACTTCATTTCCAGCGATATCGTTGACATGATTGCAAAGATATTATTTAAACTGAACTAAGCTGGATGTTGACATCACTGAATTCAATGATGAACTGTCTTTAACTGAAAAATGAGTGTTTACTATTGTCACTTTGCATTATTGACACTATTTTCCTAATTAATACTGTTCAGTTGCTTTGTCACAATCTGTATTGTTAAAAGCGCTATATAAATAAAGGTGACTTGACACACACACAGATAGATAGATAGATACACAGACAGATAGATACACACACACACACACAGATAGATAGATACACAGACAGATAGATACACACACACACACACAGATAGATAGATACACAGACAGATAGATACACACACACACACACAGATAGATAGATACACAGACAGATAGATACACACACACACACACAGATAGATAGATA